TCTGGAGATTTAAAGTAGATAACACCCAATAAGCTCAATAATGGTGTTTGCATATAATATAAATGAGGATTAAAGGCACCATCTTTAAGTTTGATTTATGTTCCAGGATCTCAGTCTAAAAACAAAAAGGAAAAATGTAAGACCAAAAAAATATCACCTTTCTGTTCTTGGGTAATTGATTTTTTCAAGCTTTTAAAGTAGATAAAATCAACACCTTAGAAGACATGTCTTTCACCCAGGCTTTCTTTTATTAAAGTGTACAACTGCAGGTGCATGCCTCGAGGAGTAATAGTTTGTTCCTAACAAAAGAGTCTGGATGCCACAATATGCCCCTTGCCGGAGGCATCGTTCCCCAAAGCACACAACTAACTGCCTCTCCTGCTGTACCTGTAACAATTTAATTGTATAAGTCAGCCTAGTCAAGCATCTCCAGCTCATGACTGGGAGACATGAAATTCATTGTCATTATTGTCCCTGTCATTTTGGATCATTATATCCTGCTGCAGAATTTTCTTCACTCCAGTGCATTTTTACCTCCAGGAGCCAGGGATTATAGCTGAGGTTGGGGTGGGGGCAGGACCGTGAACTACATTTACCTCGGGGGAGCCAGAGATTAAATTGGCTTTGCTCTCTCGCAAGCTGAATTCATCTATTTGTATGCTGTGAGTTTTAGGTTGGAATAAAAATGAATATGCTAGTGAAACCTGGGCTTTTAATTCCCCCTTTGAAACATGGATATAACCAACTTTTATTTACATGAGGAAAGCGAATGCAATTTCTTGTGGGTTGCTATTTTCATATATGCATAAGGAATATTTAAGAGCAACATCGAGTAGGAAATAACAGACGTCTCTCTCTTCCAATGCCTGGACTCTCAGACGAAAGAATTTAAAGCTGTAATTTTGTTCTCCAGTTTTGTCTGAGAGGGTTAATGGGGGCATTTAATGGTTTTAAGTGTTTAATAATTTTTAATTATATCTCATTTTTTGTGCACTAGATTGGATGACTGGAGTCCAACTGGAATGGCACCAAAGATCTACTCTGGGAACAGGAAGATAGAAGTAAAGTTGACAGAGGGAGACAAAGGGAGGTCCTAGGAGACTGGCTTCCTCTCCACAGCTGGTTCACACAACGTCACAGCCTGACAAGTCACCCCAGCCTGCGATGCCTTAAACACCTCTTGCTGACTTGGGAAAGCTGGACCTGTCACATACTCTCTATCTGGTCAACCCCTGATCAGTGGCAATGGCCATAGCCAGGGGTCAGCTGATGGCTCTCTGGCAGGAGACGGCAAGGAGCAGACAGGAAACACTAGGCTATGTCTCAGTCAGAAAATCAGTGAGCTAAACTGTATGTTTTCTCTAACAGAATAGAAGAAGAAAATATAACCTGGTATGTCACTTTCTATTCCAACTTGCATTTCACATGGATTTTACAGATAGATTTGACATTTACTTGTTTGCACTGAAAAAAAAAGTTAGTTATTCCTTTGTATGTGTGGTATTGTTTTCAGCAGTTAACAATAAAATATGGCAAACAATCATACCTATGCTAAGCACAGAAAAGCCACTATAATTACTACATTTAAAAGTCTATGGTCCTGGCTGGTTTGGCTCAGCAGTTAGAGCATCGGCCTGCGGACCAAAGAGTCCCAGGTTTGGTTCCAGCTAAGGGCAGGTACCTCGGTTGCAGTTTGTCTCCAGCCCCAGTTGGGGTCGTGTGGGTGGCAGCCAGTTGATGTGTGTCTCTCACATCAATGTTTCTTTGTCTTCCCCCTGTCTCCCTCCCACTCTGTCTGAAGATAAATGCAAAAATGTCCTTAGGTGAGAAAAAAAACAAAAGTATATGAAATTTACTTTATTGCCTTTATGAACCTTTGTGGATAGATTTTGCCTTAATCATATGCAATGGCCATCACTGTTTATTTAGGATAGAATGTTCTTATGAGTAACTCAGAAAAAAAAAAGTTTGCCCTGTATACATTTCATACTTCAGTGAGAACATCTTTCAGCTAGCTCGAACATCTCAATATTGATGGAACCTTAAAAATGGTCTCAGCCACCAGTCCAAGTGAATGACAATATTTTCTAGTCCATCTGACTGTTTTCACATGATTACATTTTACTTTCCATTAAGGCTGTATTCCTAAGCATTTTTAGTTCATAAAACTTCTTGTAGCATTTAAAAGTTTTTTTAATTACTTGTGCCACTTGTTTTTAATCATAATCAAGATTCTCCCAAAATGAGAGTTATAAAAAAAATTATTTCTGTTCACTTTAATATGGTCATTTTATGTTATGTGACTTTCACCTCAATATATTATTTTCTAAGTTAAAAAAAGTTATTTGCAAGAAGCTCAAATGCATTTTGAAATCATCTGGGTGACTTACTACATTTTTATAGTGGCTATTTATAAAGAATGCATTTTCTTTTCCTTGTTAAGAAAGGTTTTTCTTATAAGTTACAATGTTTCGACTTTATTTGCGGAAGTAAATGTTCAGGAAGTTGCGTTTTCCTCTCTGAAATACTTCAGTAACAGGATGATGATGTGATGCTTTTGGTCAAGGGGTAAGGCCTTCCTTCCTTTCTCTGAGTACACATTACTGGATTTTATTCCTTTACCGAGGTGCTCCCTGTAGTATCTTTCTTCTGTGTTAATATTTAGTTTGATCATCAGACCGTTAGGTAAAACAGGAGTTGCCCCCTCTGTGAATACAGCTGGGAAACCACAGAACTAGGGTGCGTATTCTGGTTTAACCTTACCTCAAGAATGACATGGTTGGACCTGTATCATTTCCGAATAAGGATTAAAAGAAAATTATTTCAAATGACTAGAATATAATTACTTTTACCCTTTTATTTAAGACTTAAGATTTGACAATACATTTTCAAATGTCAATATAAAATTATTTTAAATAATAATCTTTAAATTTTTCAATAACGTTTGCTAAACTCAATTTTGCAACCTATAATAAGCTCTAAAAACCAATTCTAAATTAAATAAATTCTTGATCTCCTTGATTATAATAGGATAATGTTTCTTTTGCATATGTGACTGATTTCCCTTTAAGAATCTATAATTGAGAGATGATATCCACTAGTAATCCTCTTAAGGAGATTCAGATATGCACAAGCTAAAAAAAACAATACAAGTAGTTAGCATCTGATCCATCACAGGGCAGAGAAAATGACCCAGTATTTGAGAGGGTTTGCGCAGGAGGGATTAGCAGTAGGAGGCAAAGGGCATACCACCTCCAGGTCAGGATCAGTAGAATGCCATCTGCAGAACACCCTCTTACTCCTCCTGGACCAAACCCTCTTCAACATAATCATCCAGTAAACTACAATGGATCAGCACCAAGGGACTGATGCAGAGAAAGCAAATTCACAGCTAAGGTTGTCCTTTACGATACAGGTTCAATCAAGGGCACCAAATATGTAGTTAAGCGCCCCCGCCCTGTGGCGTTCAGATGTTAATGAGCACTGTCAGCTGTGAATTATCTAGCTTCTAATGTTTGTCTAAGACCCTAACATCTCCCCAATATTGTTGCTCCTAGGACATTTTCTTGAGTTTGTCCCCATTGCTCCCTCTGCATATATACTTTCTGTATTCCCACATGAAAGCCTAACAGACAACTAAGTTGATTCAAAAACTTAACATGGGGTGGGGCGGGGGGATGGGGGGTGACCTTGAGGATATCCCATAATATGAAGTAATATTAATATCAAAGTCTTGGTGGGGTAGAGGGGGGCGGGAATATATATATTGTTTTGTTTTGTTTTTTCTTCACGCTAAGAGTTTAGATATTTAACATGAAATACAAACAATCACATAGTGGAGATTTAAAAATTCCTGAGCTAGCTCTGGCCAGTTTGGCTCGGTGGTTAGCATATTAGCCCACAGACCAAAGAACTGCAGGTTCAACTCCAGTCAAGGGCACGTACCTCGGTTGCTGTTCATCCCTGGCCCTGGTAGAGGTTGTCCGGGAGGCAACCAGTTGATGTGTCCCTCTCACATGGATGTTTCTCTCCCTCTCCTTCTCCCTCCCATTCTATCTGAAGATAAATGGAAAAATGTCCTCAGGTGAGGATTTTAAAAAACAACAAAAACTCCTGAGCTATAGAGCCTAAGCTGTCCTCTGTATCACAAAATTTCTAAGACTTTTTGAACATGTACAATTATCTACATCCAGTTAATTCTTTATAAATAAATATCTTTGGACTATTTTCTAATTCTACACACTCTTTAAAACTATAGTAAAATTTCACAAATGGCTTTCCCTGTTTTGTTTTATATTATATTGAGGTCCATCTGGAAATATATGAAGTGGTTGTTTCCTTCAAGTAGAAGTATACAAAATTATATTGCTTACACACAAAATGAACATTGAACACATGGTGAATGGATACTCGGTAATGTCACTGTGAGAAAACATCTAACAATAGCACAGTAAGCAATAAAAGCTGAGGGCTTGGTTTAACAAATGCAATGTTCATCTATCTTCATCATAAATTATATGTTCAGGAATTGTGTCTTGTGCAAAATAAAACATGTCAATTTCAGCCCGGGGGGCATTTTTCTCTAGGTTTATAACCCCTTGAAAATAGGTTTCATCTAGAAAACCTAACAGATCCTCAGCTCCTTTCCACATTATAATGTATTCATAAAGCAAGTAGTCACTGGCAAACATATAACAAATTAAATGACATGAAGGCGGGGTCTAAATTCACAGTGAGGGAAAATGGACCAAACCAACCATAAGATGCAAAGCAGAAATCAAAGCAGAAAAGAAATGTGCAAAATTAAACAATATGAAAAGCAAAACACTATGTGGAGTTTGTTTTAGCTAGTATTAGAGAAAATGGTGAATGGGTGTGTCCATGTCTATATGTGTGTTGTGTAAGATTAGCAGAATTAAAAATGCAAAACTATCTCATTAAGAATATACTGTAAGGGTCATAAGTGAAAGTCAATTATATTGTAAAAAAAAATTGCATACCATCATAGTAGACGATTGCTCCTACCAGTCTGTCCTTCTGAAGCATTGGGAAATGCTCAAGGGCTCTCGATTTGCTGAGGATGTAACTGCTTTTCAGGCAATTACTTCCTGCTACCAGATCGTACAGCTTGATCCCTACCCAGTAGTAAGGTAACTGCCACCACCTGCAGCATAAACAGGGGAAAAGGTTTCTTTAGAAATAGTGAACAACATTACAGAATATCACTTTAAATTATCAGATACTTTCATTTAAAGAAAAGCAAAGTGTGTCTAAAAGTGTACTCCAGAAGAAAAAGAACTGCATTGCTGTTTTTGACACCAGCCTAGCTGCATTATGTAAGTGAATGAATTGGAGAGCCTTTAAATGAATTACCTATAAGGCGATGGTTCTTGAACTGTTTGCATATTAGAATAATTCTCTGGGGAACTTAAAAAAATAAAATAAAATACAGATGCCTGGGCCTCATGTGTCTAGAGATTGATTTAACTAAACTAGGGAGGAGGCCTGAGTGACTACTGGATCCCCAGCGTACAGAATTGCTAACTTAAGATGTCCTAAGCAATCTAGGACAAAATATGGACAACAATTATAAAGTCTGTTTCTAGGTCCCCCGCCACACTCATGGCTAACAGTTACAGAATCCACTTTTCCATGTTCCCTGTGCTCTAATGGAAGGCAACTGCACAGATAGCTCTAACAATATTGGGAAAATGGGGTTTATAAATTATAATCTGACACTTCTAAACAAAGTTAACTTTGGGTTAACTCATAAATTGAAAATTACTTAAAATGACTTAGGCTTGGAGTTGGCACACATTAGGCTCGGATTTTGCAGCAGGATACTTTTGGGCTCTGCATTTCAGTCTTCAAATGAGCCTCTTGAAGCAAATGCAGCTGCTCCTCTACATACTGTCAGAAACTGGAGTGAGAAACTATTAATTGTACAATCAGAACACAGCCTCCTTCGCTTTCAAGATGTAGCCTTTAGAGGTAGGTCAGTAGTGAGTAAATTAGGAAAACCCACACTTTTAAAAACAACAAAGGAAAATTTTTGAGAACAATTAAAGATTAGGATTAATTAAAACTACATTAAGAAATACAAGTTGAGGGAGTATTAAAACTGTGTTATTCTATTAATCTCAGATAAGCAAATGTATATAGTTGATATCAAAATGCTTACTTGTAAACTGGAAGCATTATAGGCAATGGAGCTGATAAATGGGGAGCAATTTCTAGCAGGTTGGCACGCTCGTGAAGGGCTTCTTTTACCATCTTATACTGAAAAGCAAAACAGAGAAAATTAGTTTGGCAGTAACAGATCATAATATTTTCAAATGGCAAATAGACACCCTGCCAACTGACTGATACACAGAAACCTCTCTACCTCTGAGCGAGGATAGCTCCCTCCTAATCAAATTTCTAATAATATATCATGCTGTCAACCTGAGAGATTTTTTAGAAACTTTAAGTGTATTTGCATAGGAGAAAAACATGCTGTCAGAGCTCCCAGGTGTAAGATACTTTTCTGACTTGAGTTACAAGATTATTATAACAATTTATCTTGCATTCTCTATACTGTCCCTTTTCTCAGTCCCCTATAATATTTTCCCATGTAAGAGATAATGGCTTGTTCTAATGCATGCTCAACATTCCTTTCTAGCCGCCACTAACCAAAGCAGAGATGATACTTTAGAGTTGCACAGTATTTTATAGATTATTATAAAAGAGAAAAGAGCTTATCTCTTAACTCCTTTGGTCCTCATTATGCCTCTCCAAAGAACCAGCATTATGAGTATGATACTAATTTTACAAATGAGAAAACTGAGGCTCATAAAAATTTAATAAGTAAGCTGGAACACATCCCAAGTCATCTGATTCTAAATCTTATGCTCTTTTCCTTGCAGCCATCATGATATTGAAGAGAGACCCAAGGAAGGAGGACAGATTCACAAGTGACACTGTCAAGTTAGTGCCGCTGACTTGTTCCTGCACGAAAGGCAGATACGGAGTTCAGCTGATTTTTTTACCCCTCTGGGAAATGTCATCTTCCACACTGCCTTGGCAGTTTTCAAATGGTGGCAGACTGGACACAATAAAGTATGACATTAGAAAAGCATGACTCAGATCATCTTTTCCTTGAGAATATGTCAGTGACAAGATTAACGTGTGACTGCGGTTTCAGTAAAGAGGATCGATTGAATAGTCCCCCTGTATTACACAGCACAACTCCCAGAATCTGCTTAGGAGGAAGCAATTTGGTGGCTATTGGCAAAACATAAATAAAAGGAAGAACGAAAAAAAAACAATCACAGTTATTAAAAAGCAACACATCCAAAAGTGATTTTGTAAATCGGCTACTTTGACATGCCTGTGTAGAAAAAGCCCCATTATCCATAAACACGATACCCCAGGAAAGAACCAGCACACCTCTCCTGAAAGATACTCCAATAGAATACACTGAATAGGTATTTCCAACAGGAAGAAATGTTAGAAGCCATAAAAAAAATAAATAAAACTGATTTAATTGGGTTGAAAAAAAGCATAGTCGCAATTTTTGTTTAACAGCCAGCATACACAATTACCTGCTCAATATCCAACTTCATGATAGCCTTCTGAAGGTATCTCACACCACCATGGATCAATTTAGTGCTTCTGCTGCTGGTCCCCGATGAGAAATCATCTCTTTCTACAAGGGCTGTTTTTAGTCCTGTGTAACCAGAAAACCAAATTAACTTCTTAAATTACACAATTTGTATGTAATTCATTAAAGGCACTTCTCCAGGGTAGAGACAATCACAAGAAAAATTACTCTGAACATGGATAAATTTGTATTCAAAGTGCAGTACACTGTCTATATTATAATGAAGAGATTTTAGCCTCTTCCTGGGGGAAAAGTCAAAGCAGAACTAGAGGCATATTAAACTGTGAATGAATCACAACTAGAAAATATTACAGCACAATTTCATGGCAGTAACATACTCTGGTGCTTTTAGAGAGTCCAAGGAGAGCCTGTACCCATCTCTTCCCAGGAGAGCTAACCCAGGATTGTTTACGACTCCTTCTGGAACCCCCATTCATCCCTCGATCCAGGAGTCCAGACACAACCCAGCCCCACATCTCAATGTACTCTAATGCATCATCTATAAATCTGGCTCCTATTTCTACAATGGTGTTCTAGAGAGTATAAAATAAGAAAAGAAGTAAAAGATATCACAACAGAAGAAGAAAAAGAAAATTAACCTCTGATACTGAGGAGTTCATGGTCTAACTGAAGACCTCCAAGCACAATATTGTAGAATTACAAAATGCAAGCCAGAACAAATGAACCCAGTGCAGTGTCACAAGAACAGAAAAGACAATATTCTTTGTGAAGGTGAGGCTGAGCAAAGAAAGGTCAGTTTCAGAAGTCATCCCTCTTCCCCACCCCTTTCTTTGAGGGTTGCAATAAATCTCTTGGAGATGAAATTAGTTTGGTTTGGTTCCGTTTTCTTGCAGACACTCCTACCTCTCCGGGATTGGGTAGGACCAGCAGTAGTACTATGAGGCCCATACACTAGTTAGAGATGAAATTTGAAACTTCAAAAGACCCAAAGTATATATCAACACCAAGCCATGAGGAATTTTCATGGCCTGGCATGCTCTTGGGGGACGAGAGAATGTCATGGAATCCAATTACAATGAGAATATGCAACTGGAGCAGTTTGGGCTCACAAAGCTCATATAAGAGAACCTGTGCATGTATTCAATTCAGAGCCATTTATTACATTTAATACCAAAGGGTCGTTTTTATAACTTTTAACAGTTTAAATATCGTACCCAAATGTCATCATAAAATCAGGCCAATTCCCTTGACTCAAAAGGACAAAATATTTGGAGGCCTTGGAGAGAAAAGGAGCGAACTTTGATTCAAGGGCAAAAACTGCTAATGCTCTAAGGGGCAAAATAACACAGAAATTACAGGTATCATAGACCCAGGTCACTCTTTTTAAGCATATATGCCAGAGAGAGATCTGTCAAATTCTCAGGTATGAATACCCTATCAGTGCTTACTAAATTTAGCCCTGGATGTGTTATAAAAAATAAAAATACATATTCAAGTTAGTTCATACTTTTATAAGAATGTTGAGAGCTTAATGCCAGGCAAAAGGGATGATGTCAGAAATGAATTAGGCATGCCCTGGCTGGTGTGGTTCAGCTATCTGAGCAAAGTCCCATGCACCGAAAGGTCGCTGATTTTATTCCCAGTCAGAGCACACACACAGGTTGTGGGTTCGATCCCTGGTTGGGGTGTGTACAGGAGGCAACTGATCAATTTATCTCTCTGACACCAATATTTCTCTCTCTCCCTTCCTCTCTCTCTACAATGAATAAAAACATATTTTTAGAAATGAATCAAGCATGAACTGAGCTGCCAAGTAGCTCCCAGCCCGTAGAGAGGCACGTACAAGGGGTTTTACAGGTGTTACATTTGAAAATACAGAGGACTGGGTTAGAAGCTAAATTCAGACATAAGCCTAAATTTGTGTAGTCAAGATTATATTTGTAATCTCTTAAGAACGCACTGTCTTAGTGAGCTGTATCACCTTTTCTTAGTGAGTCCAACACAGAGACAGAGTTCTTCCAGCTCTAAAAGAGACTATTTTTCTTCAGTTGAAGATCAGATGAAGGGGCTGATGTGCAAATAGCATTTAAGCACCAGATTATTTAAAATACATCCCTTGAAGATGGTGGCAGGCAGGAGCGGAGGGAGGGTGAGTGTGTGAGAGAGTGAGCTAGAGTGTGAGAGAGTGTGAGTGGACGTGAAGGTGGACGACCAAACTCATGCAGTGCAGAGAGGCAGAGCAGAAGGTTCCTGTGCTGTGGACGGAGCAGCTGGCTACCACGGCAACCGGCTCTTCAGGGAGCTTCTCCTTGCACTGCAGGGAGATTTCATCATTTTGGAAGACTCTGGGTCTTCCCTGGGAGGAGGCAGTGGGAACAGCTAGAGCCCAGCAACCTGAGCCCACCAGTGCACCTGGCACCATCGGACCAGCGGACACTCTGTGCCAACACAGACCAATGCACAGTAGTGGAGCTGCCAAGGTGCCTGTTGCTGAAGCCTCAGAGAGCGCAAAGCCCAGAACATCCCCCATAGTAGCAGCCCAATCAGAGTCAAGATATACACCCAGCAACAGAGGCTGGGGAACAGACATCCATCCTCAGGCAACAGAAGCACAGACCAGCAGCTGAGACCCATCCCTAAAACCTATAGCAAAAGCTGAGCAGGAGTTGAGCCCCACGGGGCAGCAGCACTCCCCAGCTGCCAGCAGCCAGACCTGTGGCTCCAGAGACCTGTGCTGTCCAGCAGCTCACAAGAGCAGTGGGAAGACGGAGCCTTAGAGAGACTGGTGCAATCCAGCTGCCTGCGTGGGAACTGCAGGGTATGGGGGCACCAGAGAGGCCTGTGCGACCCAGCAGGGACTGTGCAATCCAGTTTCCCACGGGACCTGCAGGGTGCTGAAGCACTAGAGAGGCCTGTGCTACACCGCAGGGACTGCACAATCTAGTTACCCACGGGACTTGTGAGGTGCTGAAGCACCAGAGAGGTCTGTGCAACCCAGCTGCAACAAGATAGGCATAAAGGATGTGAAAATAGAGGTAGAGTGAATAGAAGCTACACAGATGATCTCCCAGAACCAAACAGGAATAACAACTAAAATAAAAACAAATCCTCGAAAAAAGCAACAGAAAAGCAGCAGGACAGAACCATATAACCAGGGACACTGGTAGGATCTGCGGAGGCGCAAGAGGGTTGCAGGCTGGGAGCCCATGGACAGCAGCAGTCTTAGCTGTGAGCAGCGCCCTTCGGGAATAAAGACTAAGCCCACTCCACAGGGCAGAGAGCTGGGACAGAGCACTAAAATAGCCCTAGCCACTCACCTGGGGGCTACAGCAGAGTGAGGACAGACTGGGCTGGAACTCTGTGGGGACACCCAGGATTTGGAGGGCACTCAGAGTTTTTGCTGAGTTGCAGCCAAGGATGGTGGCCAGTGAGCTGTGGGGGAAAGCAGCAACCCCCCACCCCCCCAAGATCCAGCCTTTCCCAGGTGAGGCAAAGAAATGCAAACTGAGGCTCATTAACATCCAGCATCTATCCCACCCTCTGGGAAACCTCTTATGCAGAACACCAGGGCTACATTCCAAGGCACTGAGTAACAAAAACTACTAGCCTCCAGGGAAAAGCTAGAGGATAACTGAACCTTTCCTGGGCTTGCAAATCTACCCAGGAAAGTAAGACTTGACAGTGGTCTTTGACGTGGACCTGCCCAGGCCCACCCAAACCCAGTAGAGGGAGCCACAAACAGCAGAACACCAACACCCACAGGAAAAATTTGGCAGGCTCCAAAACCCACTGAGATAGCCAAAATAGTGAAACAAAGAAACAAATCCCAAATGAAAGAACAAGAGAACTCTATCGAAGATGAGATCAATGAAATGCAGTTAAGCAAATTACCAGAAGTAGAGTTCAGAGCCATGATCTAGAGGAAGCTCAACAGCATGACTAAGGACATCAGCACCATAAGTAAAGATATAGAAACATTGAAAACCAACCAAGTGGAAATGAAGAATAACATAGCAGAAATAAAGAACACACTGGAAGGACTAACCAGCAGAGTAGAGAAAGCTGAGGACCAAATCAGTGAATTAGAAGACAGGGTAGAAAAAAAATCAACCAATCAGAAAACCAAAAGGAAAAAACAATGAAAAAATCAGAAAGATAGCTTAAGAGAACTATAGGACAACTGAAAACGTGATAACATTCACATCATAGGAGTTCCCGAAGAGGAAGAAAATGGGCAAAAGTTAGAGAATATATTTGAAGAAAAACATTTCTAACTTGGTGAAGAAAGAAGGCATTCAAGTTGAAGAAGCACAGAGAGCCCCAAGTAAGAAGAACCCAAACAGGCCTACACCAAGACACATAACTAGAGACAAAGAAGGCCACTACATAATATTGAAAGGATCTATCCAACAGGAAGATATAACCTTGGTGAAGATATATGCACCCAATTTAGGAGCACCAACATGTATTAAAAATCTTTTGGAGGACTTCAAAGAGGAAATCAACAGCAGTACAATCATAGCAGGGGACTTCAATAACCCGCTGACATCACTGGATAGATCTTCTGGACAAAAATTAGTGCTCGCTTCGGCAGCACATATACTAAAATTGGAATGATACAGAGAAGATTAGCATGGCCCCTGTGCAAGGAAGACATGCAAATACGTGAAGCATTCCATATTAAAAAAAAAAAAAATTAACAAGGACACACAGACTGTAAATGAAGCACTAGATCAAATGGATTTAATAGATACAGAGAATTACACCCCAAAACCACAGAATTCACATTCTTCTCAAGTGCACATGGGACATTCTCAAAGATAGACCACATGTTAGGACAAAAACTAAGTCTCTACAAGTTCAAGAAGATTAAAATCATATCAAGCAACTTCTCAGATCACAATGGCATGAAACTAGAGATCAATTGCAACAAAAACATGCAAAGACATTTGAAAACATTGAGGCTAAATAGCATGTTATTGAACAATGAATGGGTTACCATGGAGATCAAGGAAGAAATTTAAAACTTCCTGGAAACCAATGAAAATGAACACACAACAACACAAAATCTATGGGATGCAGCAAAAAGCAGTTCTGAGAAGGAA